TTTGATAAATTAACTTGTAACCGCTGTCTTGGTGTTTGGTATATTATTTTGTCTTTTGATAAAAGTTTTCTCATTTGTAATCATACCAATGATGTTTGCTTTGTTTATACCAGAGACATATGTGTATATATGTCTCTGTTTATACAGACTACACTGCAATTGACTCTGCGATTCCTATTTCCTTTTGTCGTCGTCAGACACGAATATTTATATTACAACAACCCTTCTGTCATCGTTTAGTGAATTATTCCCAAAAAAGGATTAAGAAATTTAGAGTTGAATAAACATAGAAGATTCCACATAAATTCTGATTATATTCAAACCAAATTGATAAAATGTCAAATCCTGTGTCTACTCTTAAAAGGTTTGCTTACAACGATATGACAACACTCCGTTATACTTTCTGTCCTGGTAGTTTTTACATCAGCCAATGAAATTTAAGCTTTCAAATTTTGAAGGTGTGTATCAATCCGACAAAACCAGAAGATTCCAAAAGGTCTTTAAACAGAAAGTAAAATTGAGCGTACAAGGAATCACAATGGTGGTTAATAACTCACTTAAAGAGGCAGCTGCTATTTTGATAGTTATTCTGTTAAAAATACACAAAATGAAAGAATAAACTAAAAATTTGAAAATGGTATAATTCGTCTATTAGGGCAAATAACTGCTTAAAGCAGTTAACGTATAAAAAGGCAACTTATCAATCTATAGTTTTTCTCAATAGACAAAAAGCCAAAATATCTGATGAAAAAAGTCATTAAAGGAAAATTACTCTAAATTGACTACTCCGAAAATTTTGAATTGAAATAATCAAATATTCTAGAAATAAAAACGTTTTCGTTCATTTTTTGTACATTAATAAGGCCGTTAGTTTTCTCGTTAGAATTGTTTTACATTTGTCATTTCGGGGCCTTTTATAGCTGATTATGTGGTATGGGCTTTGCTCATTGTTGAAGGCCGTACGGTGATCTGTAGTTGTTAATTTCTGTGTCATTTGGTCTCTTGTGAATAGTTGTCTCATTGGCAATCACACCACATCTTCATTTTTATAAGCATGTCTATTCCCTGGGAGATTATTTTTTATAATAATACAAAATCAGTATTCCCACTGTGTTCTACATTTTTATACGTTTTTGTTTTTGGCAGAGTTCATCATTTAAGAATCATTTGAGATTTAATACATATGAATGTGAAGATGAGGAACACGAAGACTCTCTAGGTTGACAATATTGCACTTGAAACGTTTAATCATATTTGCAGAAACTGAAAAAAGAAGTAGAAAACGAATTACATTTTTATTGTGACAATTACATCCTTGTGCGAAGGCAATTTTTCATTCATAATATACTGTAATGCTAGAGGACACAGATATTCTATTGTAAAAGCAAAATAAATTATCATTTGAACTAAACTTTATACGAATCATTACCTAAGTTAATATTATATGGATTACGGTGAATCATAAGTTATATATGAAGTATCTTACGTATTACAGTAAACAAAAGTTTAATTCAGTATCTTTAAGAAGTCAAATCAATCAATCTATGAAACCAAAATTAAAGATTTGTTTAGATATTTATATATGCGACTGTGGGTGGTGGTGGTGTCATGTATTGGGGATGATGGTGGTCGTGGAGGGGAGGAGGGGGTCAGGTCTTCATTTCTATATCTTTTCATTATTTGTGGATCCATTTCTTTCCACTCTTTTATTTTCTGCCAATTGGCCTCTATTCTTTATAGTTCATCACACCTTTAATCTGTTTTCTATATTTTTTGGGTACATTTTTTTCTAGTCTTTACTTGTTGACCATAATTCTCTAAACGAAAAACGAATATGATATACAGCAACAAACGACAACCACTAAATTGTAGGCTCCTGACTTGGGACAGACACATACAGAAAGATTAATATATACAAGGAGTAGGGTTTCTCTTCCTATATGCAGATAGATTTTTTGAAATGTCAAATATATCAATGGTTTATATTTTCACGGAGATAAACCACCGGAAAACCTACCCCCCCCTCACCCCACACTCCCCCCCCCCCCCCCCCCCCCCAGGATCATTCGCCACTGCAACCGAGTCGGTGTTTATTTGTCTCATGTCAGAATTATTTGTGAAGACAGTTGTATAATCATGCAGACATGGCTGAATATTTCTTTATTTTCAACTCACAAGAAACACGCATGTTTTTGTGAATTTATTAAGGTTTCAGATTTGTTTTATTTTAAATCACATTATCAGATAACGACGTCAAAGGAAATAAAAACGACGTCTTATTTTGACTCTTTTTTATCTCAACTTAACGATCATTACTCACATAACGATAGAATATTAAATGGTGAAATTTATATGTTGGATACTATATAATATCAGGATGCTCAATGAATTTGCTGCAATTTATATTTTATCATATCTTAATCGGACCTTAGGCTCTTTACCAGAAACATGGGAGAAGCAGTGTTCAGTTTTAAAAAAAATCAAACATATATTGGTGATATGAATGATTGGAAAGTGTTTTGATTCCTGAAGTTACTAGTAATAGGCCCCCATACCCCTCACCTCACGCGGTATAAGACTTCTAATGGCGGATTTTGAAATTTTCATAAGGGAGGGGGCACTGACTGCCTAAGAGGGGGCCCGCTCTAGTCATGCGTCAGTAATTCCCTAAATCAGCCTCTGACTTATTTTGAACTAGGACCAGTATATCTGTTCCTGTTTTGAAAAATCCCTGACTCTTAGGTTTTCCAAATTCTGAAGAACAGGTGCTTGTTTTTGTATATCGTGTCAACTGCTAAATATGGTGAGACTTTTTATTCACTATATCTGAATATTATACTTAATCACTGACATAACACACTTACTAGAGCAAATTTTTATTATAAATATTTTTATCCTCGTCAAGCTCATAATTTTTCCTGAATGAAAATAAATAGTGGTGTGATAAATAAAACTACGCAAAAATATAAATATCGTTTGATCCGAGCTATCTGAGGGCCGAATTTATCCATTTAAATTTACCTACGCAAGCAGTTAAGTCAAGGGCGCTACAAAATGTGCTAAAATTGGATCTTAAAAAAAGCGGGAAAATTAGCAAAGACTTGCTTTGGAAATCAATCATGGCCTGTACATTAATGCTATGGTAACCTTTATTATTTATAAAAGCTTGTTCGTCATAATCTGTTGAATGATTCCGCACAATAATGTTGCCCGTCTTTAGCATTTTAAAATCAACACTGCTCGGTAAGCGGTAACATACAACGAATAACTCTCGATAAGTGCAATTTCATTCTGTTATCGGATGACTATTATATGTATCCGTTCGATCCTTCACACTGTCATGTCTAATCTGTTTCCAATTTATGTACCAACTCAACTCCTAACACATCTAATGTGTTGTTTTTTTTCAAATCTAAAGAGCTTTCATAGCTGGTCATTGATAAACTCCCTTTTCAGGGGATACATCTCATTTTTCGAGCACACACTAATGTTCGCATTGCTACAGCAGCCATGTTTGATGTTTTAATCATATGATTAAAATTTAATACACCCCCATGAGGTTGATTAAACTAAACGACAGTTTTAGCATTTTTTTACAACGCGTTTAAATTAACGAACAACACACTAATCATATGATTAATTCTAATCCAATGATTAAGAACATTTTACGACTCATTAGCACTATCGACAAGTTGAACAACAGACCCCAGTGGTGATAGTTTCGGCAACCAAATTCAACATTATAATCTTCAAGTAAACTATTGAAGACTCCTTACTCCGTACTCCGTTTTTCTTGGTTTTTTTTGTTTTTAATACTTTAACTCGTGGTGTCAACGTATATTTGTTGTGCGTAATAGAGGTTCCAATGAAAGCTTTGTTATACATAATTGGGCCATAATATCTGTCCCTAGTGAAACTTTCATCATAAAGGAACCTCTATTTCATGACAACAGCACATTATCAGAAAACATGGGCTACAAGATTAGTGCCAACGTTATTAATTTTATGCAAGTAGTCAGGAAATGCAGAATAAAAACAAAACAAGTTGAAAAAAATACCAACTTGACAATTATTAAAACAACAAACGGGTTATTGCTGGTAATTGATATAGGTTGATACATTTTTAAAATTTAACCAATGTAAACATTATTAATAGAGTATAGTGAAAACGTCAAACAGAAAGCCAACTGATTATTGAATTGTGTACTCTTATTGCTTAATAACATGTGCTGAGTTTTAAACGATGTACGAAATGAACCTCTGAAATTTTAAGTTTTCAAAAAAAAACGATAAAACTATATATTTTGCCTAAACATGAAGTCTTTGAGTCTAAGATGAATGATATTTTATTAGTTGTTATTGGCTTTGAACTAGGGGGCGCCTTCAAACTAGTTTAATCCCGCCACATTATGTATGTGTCAGTCCCAAGTCAAGAGCCTGTAATTCAGTGATTGTCATTTGTTGCTATATATTATGCATGTTATATTTGTTTTTCGTTCATTATTTTATGCATTTATCAGGCCGATAGTGTTTTCGTTTGAATTGTTTTGCATTTATCATTTCTGTGTCTTTTATATCTGACTATGCAGTATGGGTTTTGATCATTGTTGAAGGCCGCACGATGACCTTTTGATGTTAATTTATATGTCATTTGGTCTCTTGTGGAGAGTTGTTTCATTGACAATCATGCCATATCTTTTAATTTTTATATTTACAAAAATGTACATTTAATGCAAACGCTTATTTTTCTTTGGGGTCATAACTGATTGCATTGTGACGTCATCAATAAGTTTTTCCTTTTACATTTTTTTAATCAAAACAGACATGAAACGAGATCGTATGATACAAGTTCAAGTCCGTTGCAAAGTTATTTTTTTATATTTTTTCAGTTAAACATCAATATAAAATCAGTTCTTATTCCTGCATGTCTACATTGTCTGACTTAGAGAATATATTGTGTATGATGTGTTGTCAAATAATGTATACAACGTTTATTTCAGCTTTAAACCTCGTTTTTATAACATCACTGTACAACCTGCATCACCTCACACCACAGGTCATGAGACTGATAGTTCACATCTTTGCTGCAATATTCGCTTTGAACGTCCTGGGACGACCCTCCTTGCAGCTAGAGCAATCAGTTCTGGATCTATTTCCAGAGTTCACTAGGTTGAAACAGGATATCAAGTCTGAACTAGCATCTATAAAGTCGAAGCTTCAGAGTAAGAAATGCTCTAATGTTTTAAGAAAATAAGGTTCCAATTCCTTATGACAAAATTGACCATAGAAGCCATTTGATTATGTAAGAATAGTAAGTTAATAGCAAAACTTTTAACGATGAATAGCCATTAAAATTCAGACCCTGTAATTAAATAAGATTTATGACATTGAATGGTCAGTCAACTAGCAAATGGGTTATACTTCACAAATCACAACTTTAATTACCCTTTTATACACAGTGTTTGGTAAATTGGTGTAAGAGCTACGATATTATTAACAACATATATTTTACTTAAATCAACTTGTTCGTATATCTAGCAGAATAGCAACATTTCTCCTTTTTTGAATTATAGTTCTAATATGCAAATTTGAAAACCTAAGCTGATGCGTAGGACAAATTTAACACGTGTTACTGATATTTGATAGACAAATTTAACACATAGTTACTGATATTTGATAGACTAATTTAACACATAGTTATTGATATTTGATAGACACATTTAACACATAGTTACTGATATTTGATAGACAAATTTAACACATTGTTACTGATATTTGATAGACAAGTTTAACACATAGTTACTGATATTTGATAGATAAATTTAACACATAGTTACTGATATTTGATAGACAAATGTCCCTTGAATGAAAAAATGCTGGTGCATGTTTTTTTTTTAGTTAATCAACGTATACATAACAAATACTGTTGATTAATTTGTCACATGAAATTAAGCAACCGACAATCAATCAATACTGTTTATCTTATCAGGTGGACAAGATAAGAGAGTTGCATTTCATGCAAAACTACAACCAAGGGTTGAAATTATGGAGCCTTCAAAGACAGTGGTATTTGATTACGTTATCACAAACATTGGAAGCGCTTATAACAATCGAAATCGGCATTTTACTGCTCCTTATGATGAAGTGTATCTCTTTGTTTCTACATTTCATTCGATGATGATATATAATAGCTATGGTCTACACTTGCAAATGGTCAAAAACAACTATGTTTTATCCGAAGCATCAACTGGCGCAAGTAGTGCTGGAAGCTCAATGAATGCAATAGAATCTTTAAAACGAGGTGATGTTATCAAAATACGGAATAATCCAATTCGTAGAGGAACATTTAAAGAAGGTATGACTTTCTTTTCTGGTTATCTTGTGTATTAAAACCTGAACACAAATAATACACGATTTCCATATGGTTAATTCTAAATTACTTTGATTTATAGTATTGTAACAGTGTAAATTTGCCATTGTCTTAATAAACTTTTGTGAAACCTGTTTTCAGTTATTGCAATTATGCATTCTCAAACATTACAAGACCTGGTATATAAAGGATATACCTTAGCTAATCATAAACGTCATCAACACCATTGCATAACTTTGACAAACCAGCAAAAACAATTTGCCCCATAACATATATGTTAGTCCAATAAACATGATAGACGCAAATCACATCAATTGTAAAATGAGTCATTATAATATTCTATTAGTTCAATTTGCAAAATTCTTTCAGCAGACTATTTTCATACTACCGACTTTTGACTCCAAGTATATTTTCATTTCGACAAGACTCCTGACTCTGATTCCGAAGTATATAATTTGTTGACAGGTAAACTACTCTGTGATGGTACATTGTGGTACTCGGTCAAGTGACAGCAAGTAAAAGAAGTAAAATTAAATTTGCGATTGAAGAATTTTTGTGGGAAAAATTAACAGTTATCTTTTTTCCATACTTGATAAAATCATCGGAAAACAGTCATTTTCCCCTAATTGTACTGACTGCAAGTTGACTTTTTTCATGTATTTCCTCTTAATTGACCAAATACCAGAATGACCTACCACATAGTAGTTTACCTGTCAAACAATTATATATACTCCGGAGTCAGAGTTAGTAATATGAACATATGTTATTAACCCTAATGTCGAATGATTCTTTCTAAACAAATAAAATATATGTCATTACAGATGATTGTTCAAGTGTCAAACTATTAGTACTTAACCTGATGATTAAAGGGTCCTCACAGTTCCACAATGCAATCAAATTGATTAACCTGCTAATAAAAGGATCCTCACAGTTACACAAAACGAACTAAATTACTTATCCTGCTAATAAAGGATCCAAACATTTATACAAAACCAAACTCAAAGTACAATGTACATACTCTGCTAATTAACTACTCTTCACATTTACACAAAAAAAACTCAAAGTACTTACCCTGCTAATTAAAGGATCCTCACAGTCCCACAAACCACACTCAATATGCTCAAAGTACTTACCCTGTTAATTAAATGATTCCCACAGTTATACAAAGATAACTCAAAGTACTTACCCTGCTAATTAGAGGATCATCACAGTTACACAAAACAAAATCAAAGTACTTACCCTGCTAGTTAAAGGTTCCCCACAGTTACACAAACCAAACTCAAAATACTTACCCTAAAGAAAAGAGTCTCCACAATTACACAAACGAAACTAAAAGTACTTACCCTGTGTGGATCTACATAGTGGGTGATATAACAGGAATTACTCAGTTTCTGTTGTATACCTTGATTTGTATCCTCTTAATAGATTTATGAGAATTGAACATCAGCACACTACTGTTGCCTAAATTTGATATCGATCAATACACTTAGTACACGTATAACATACAGCGATGTAATAAACAGTAAAGGAAGACAATATCTTAAAATGCGTCTAGAGAAAACTTTGCAGATAAACAGTTTTGCTTTTACATTGCGACTTTTTTTTTATTTTAAGAACAGACGCAGTGAAAAGTAAAGTAACAAACATACTGAATTGAAAATGGAAAGTTCTTTATAAAATGGCAAAATCAAAAGCTCAAACTCATCTAACGAATGGAAAACAATTATCATATTCCTGACTTGGAACAGGTATTGAAAATGGTGGGTTAAACCTGGTTTTATAGCTAGCTAAACCTCTCACTTCTATGACAGTTGCATTGCATTCCATTATATTGACAACCATATGTTAGCAAAACAAATAGACATTATAGGAAAAACCGTAAAAAAATGGGGTACAGTAGTCAACATCTAAAGCATTATAAAAACAAATAACTGTTTCAACAAACAAACACAAAAGGGCATGTAGACAAAGTGCATAGAAGAAATAAAAGACATGAACTCAAAATTGACCATAGCACAATTACAGAATGGCAGGATGTATAAGTACCCAGCCACGTAATAAGTATATAAACAAAAATAGACTAAACAGTAAAGGTTACAAATATACAAGGACAATGAAAAAGAAAACTTTAACACGTAATTAAGATGATAAACAACGTCAGTACCTATAATCTATTCTTCGAGACCATTATGAATTATTTGTGATGGAATATTTATAAACACGGTCTTGGTATCTTTCAAGGAACTCTTTTAGAAAAAGGACGAGACGTTCTTCGACATAACCTTGCCTCATCAACTTTCTGCTCAGACACTGCTGACGTTTGATAAAGTCTAAGTAGCAGTGGCAAGCTCTTGAATAGCGAATGAGTTGGGAATAGATATCCCATATGTAGGTGAAGTATACTGCTGCCAAGGTTGGGAAAATTTATAATTTCAAAATTAAAATCGTCTCGCTTGTCATAGATTCTGGTATGGAGATGACCGTTTATGTCAAATTCGAGGTATAAGTCTTAAAATGAAGCAGAGGAAGCCGTGTCTGATGTTTCATTAATTTCTAGTTATGGAGGATATGTTAATGGAACTCAATCAGAAAAATGTGGATTGTTAATATTTATTAAGTCTTTTTTTCTTTAATGGTTGAGCTAATTATGTTGTTATGCTAAAAATTGTTTTTTATATACCAGTGAATACGCTTTTTTAACTGATGATCAGGCTTTCTTCATTCGTTTTTATCAGTGACTTCGCTTAGTTAACTGGTGATCAGGCTTTCTGCATCGATGATTATCGTCCGTTTAGATGTCGTTCTTCATATCGTTATTCATTCGGTTAACAACTGTTTATCCTGTGCGGACTTGTATTATCTTTTAGCTTTTCATTCATCGTACATCAGGTGGTATCATATAGTATGATATTGCAACTTTTCGATTCCAGTTCAACAAGAATCTAGAGTTATCGAATTAAGGACACGATTCAATGTTATATATAGAGAAAAAGAACAACAGTCTGCTGCTTGATTTGGAAATAAATATCTACTGGAACAAATGTTGATTTACATTTTGATTTCCGATTACAACATACCACTTGTCTCTGGTATCATATAGTATGATATTGCAACTTTTCGATTCCAGTTCAACTATAATCTAGAGTTATCGAATTAAGGACACGATTCAATGTTATATATAAAGAAAAGAACAACAGTCTTCTGCTTGATTTAGAAGTAAATATCTACTGGAACAAATGTTTATTTACATTTTGATTTCCGATTACAACATACCACTTGTCTCTGGTATGTTTTACTATGTCAAATGTCCGGATTTGTTTACATTTGTATGCGAGTTAGTCTAACGTTTAGTCAAATATTCATCATGAGGAGAAAAACGATGTAAACCAATTCCTTTTGTATAAAGTGAAATTCTATATTCCAAGTCACACTATTGCTTGTTATGATAATAATATCATGCTGGTTGAACATCGTGCGCTTCGTAAATATTCTAATCAAAACACAGCAGCGACAGAAATCTATTATTTCCAAATGTTTTATTTTATGTTTTTAGGAATGAAGGTTTTCACTTTGAGGGTTTTTCCTTAGACACTTACTAAAATATGTCCAATATAACGAGCACAATTTACGATGTTATAATGTATATATTACTCTATTTATCGTTATTTCATGTTTTTTATGCGTAAGACGTTTGTAATATTTTTAGTAAATCATTGGTGCGTGACATCATTATTAAACACGTCCTTCAATGTTTGTACGTAGAAAAACCTTAAAAGAAAAATAGAATGTTTGCATGACTTGCCGAATTGTCATCAATCGATAAGTTCATGACATGAACTATTAGGGACCAAAATGTATAGATAATTATTCTGAAACTCTTGTTAGCAGTACAAATCTTAGACTGACCAAGCTATGCGGTCGCATGATAACCCAAATGCATTTGTGTCGACTGATCGTATCTTCAGCCTATAAACTAAATTTTAAATATTTTACTTTGCAATACCAATAAAAAATGTCATAGTGAATTTAAAGATCGACGAACAAGAGTTGAACTGTTCATCTTTATGACTTATAGTTGGTGTCGGTTTAAGTTAGGACTTATATGTTTGTGATCCTTGGGTTAAGCTGTACAGGAACACTCGACGAACAGGAGTTGAACTGTTCATCTTTGTGAATTATAGTTGGTGTCGGTTTAAGTTAGGACTTATATGTTTGTGATCCTTTGGTTTAGCTGTACAGGAACACTCGAAGAACAAGAGTTGAACTGTTCATCTTTGTGAATTATAGTTGGTGTCAGTTTAGTATAGGACTTATATATTTGTGATCCTTTGGTTTAGCTGTACGGGAACACTCGCCCACCTGTAAATGTATCACAGATTCATTTGAATCATTAAATACAAATTTCCTGTTTTCAAAAATATGTTTGAGAGAATATATCTATAATTGATTTGAAAACATGAATATTTGCAATGAAATCTAAAGTTTAATATTCATGTACTGTACATATTATTTTGGGTTCATAAAGTGTCTGATCATACAACGCCCGTTAGTGTCGTTGAAAGTGTTTTTTTTTGTAGATTCTGTATCATATGTACAATATGGAGAGTTGGACAAAACATCGTACAGGTATATTAATAAATAACAGCATGGTACACCTAAATAAGCAATATCCAATAAATAACA